TAATTATGTCTTCCTGAACAAGTTGAATAACTTCTCCTTATGTTTTATTCTTATCTGCAAAGAAAGGATAATTTAAAATTATCTATATTGTGTGTGGTTGTGAGGTTTAAATTAGATAGCTCAAATAAACCTGTTAACAGAGGACCTGGCACATAATTAAAGCTCAATAAATGTTGACAAAATTATTATTATGGTTGTTGTGAAAATTGAAATGATAGCTATTTATGCAAATCACCAAGCTTTATGCCTGGTGCCAAATAGACAATTAATACTGGTTCCCTTCTTTTCTCAGTTTCTAGAAAATGTGGATTTGATTTGCATAGGACTTGAAATAGTGCTTTCTTAAACAACAAGAAAATTCCTCCTGTCCTAAGGAATTATGGAGTCATATTTGTTGGGTTTTCTAGAGAGTCCTTTCATCAAGATACCTCAATCTTCATTGAGAAGACAGCTAATATTTCCTGACAAGAGAATGAAGACCCAAATCCTCCAAAGAAAGGTGTAAAGGTATAAAATAAACACATCAGAAATGTCCTTTGCCTCTTCCTTATTCCTTCCAGAAACTCTTTGGTAAAGTGACGGGGATGGGAAGGGTCTGCTATTATATCTATAAGTGAACAGAATCAGTTGGGTTTGACCTTAAACACTGAAAAGAATAAACAGTCTTTCCCAGAGAGAAGGGCAATGCTGCTGCCCATCATTGCCCATGAAAAAATGAATGGGGCGTCCTCCCTGGTGGTGCCTGTTGAGCGCTGGGCTGTGAAGCTGCCCACAGCCTCTGCAGCCCTGGTTCGATCCCCGGCCACTGGCGAGGGTCCCACATGGCGCGCAGACCCCTCCTGCTGTGCCTGCTGCTCCCCTCAGCAGTGTATTTCATCAGTCTGTCTGTTCTGCTCCCCGCTCTGGCTCTGGTGAATTCTCTTACCCTCCCGCGCTTCTGTTTGTACCCAGTGCTTGTATAAATAAATAAATAAATCTTAAAAAAAAAAGAAAGAAAAAATGAATGGGAAGAGCCTGAGCCGGGAAGAACTGGGAAATATGAGAAGCAGGTATGGTCATGATAACCTTCTCAGACGTGGGTTAGAGTTTGATCTCAATAAGTCTTTTCAAGTAAATTCCCTGTTCAAGGCGAAGCTTCTTATTTAATAAGAAAATCCAGATCTCATTCCTTTGACTCCCAACAGCGTTATCTGAGGGACTACTCAAATTGACTACTGTTGGGACAACTTCACAGGCATTGCATTCTGATTATAATCTTGGGGGGGGGGTGGTGGGCATGGGTAGAGGAGTAGTGATGTGTCCGTAAGAATGAGAAGTGAGCAGTGGGAAAATGTTGTCTATATCAAACTAACAGCAGAGAAAAATAATCTCAAGCTGCTGAAATGGAGTTCAAAGACACAAGAAAGGAAAACAGAAACAGAGCTTTCAATCTTTTTCAGGGTTCCATTTGTCCATTCCAGAGACTTTTGCCCAGGACTCTGGTTTGGGTCGACTTCACAGACAGCCAGGGATCTCAAACATAAGACTGATTCTTGGTGACCAGTGAGGAGTCAACTTGGTTGGACATCTACTTTTTTCATTCATTTAAATGCATCTATATACTTATGTACCAATCTCCATGCCAGGGTGGTGAATTTAATGGTGAAGGAGTCTCTGCCTTCTTGAGTCTTACAATCTAGTGCCTAGTAGAAGGCAAATATGAAAATCACCTTGTTGAGTCATAATAAAGCAGATATAAAGCTAGAGATATGAACAAGTTTTATGCAAAATAGGGGACTCACACAGTTTAGATAGCAGAGGGAGGAAGGAAAATAGTTTCAAGAAAGGCATCTTGTAATGTGTAATATTTCAGCTAAGACTGAAGACAAGTGAAGTCTACTGGGGGCAATATAATGACATTTTAGAAAGAAAACACAGTAAACTAAGTCACAGAAATCAGAAAAAATGGTGCCCAAGAAGTGAGGTTGCCAAAGAGCAAAATGTATGAGTCAGAGAAAATCTAAAGGCATTTTGGAGAAGCAAGAACTAGATGAGGAAGTACAAAGGTGTTGAGGAATTATCAGATGATTTTGGCAAAAGAGTGACATAAGATTTTTATAACAGAAAGATTTCTCTGTAGACAATGAAGAACGTAGATTGGAAGAGGGCATGGCTAAAAGCAGAGAGACCAGATAAGAAAATATCGCAATAATTTGTGAAGAAGTGATAAGGATTAAAATAGTGATATGTAGAATAATTTACAAGCTGCTATATATCTAATGAAATTTAAGAAATTAAGGAGGTCAATTCTTTGGGTTGTGGGTAATTGATTGGAAGGAATTTGTGAGAGCACATCAACAGAGAGCAAAAAGAATTTCCCCAATCATATCCTGATATAGTTGCTGGATACGACCCAGTCTTCCCACAGTGAATGAATTCTAGTGGCCTTCTTCCATAGAAAAAAGAAGAGCTGCAACTTCCTGCATGGAGTGATCTAGCTCCTGGAGAGTTCTATGGTCTATTGCTAAAAATACATATTTCTTTATATCCATACAATGAAATATTCTTCAGCAGTAAAAATATGCGCTATCAAATCATAAAAGACATAGAGGAAACTTAAATGAAATGAAAGAAGGCGTGCAAAGACTAGATGCTACGTGATTCTAGCTCTTTGGCATTTTGGAAAAGAAAAAAAACTATGGATACAATAAAAACATCAGTAGTTCCAGGAGTTAGAGGGAGGCAGGACAAAGTGAATAGGTGGGACACAGGGGAATTCAAGGTCAGTGAAACGATTATGATACTGTAATAGTAGATATGTATATTATGAAGATATCAAAACCCACAGAAAATACAACAGAGTGAAAACCAATATAAACTATGACTCTAGTAAATAATAATATATCAATGTTGATATAGTACAATGGATACTCCACACTAATGCAAGGCATTAGCAGAAACTATGTTTGTGTATGGGGTGGGGGTGCAGTGAGGAGGTATATAGTTTCTTCTCAATTTTTCTGCAAGCCTAAAATGTATATTTATAACTCTTACTAATTGGTGTTGCTGTGGTTGAGCTTCATGTGAGCCAAGTAGTGGTGGCTGTGGACAGGCCCAGGGTTACCAGGTGCAATAATCCTGCCACAATAAGGCACAACTGGGGCTGGATAGTCATGGGGAGGCTGGGAAAGAGGAATCTAAGATGCAGTCTTCGATGCAGCAACCCAGCAGCTGCTGAAGACAGCTGTCAAATATGCCAGGCTTGGGGGCCACCCTGGTGGCATAAGGGGTTAAGACTCAGCACTATGAGGCCACCCATAGCCATTGCAGCATGAGTTCAATCCCTGGCCAGGGAGGTGACCCCCATGGTGAAGCAGACCTCTCCTGTCTCGCCTGCTGCTCCCCTCAGCAGTGTATTTGTCTGTCTGTTCTGCTCCTCACTGTCTCTGGTGAATCCTCTCACACACACCCCCACACTCTGGCCTGTACACCAGTTCTTTTTTTTTTTTTTTTAAGATTTATTTATTTATTTATTTATTTATACATGCACTGGGTACAGTCAGAAGCGCGGGAGGGTGAGAGAATTCACCAGAGCCAGAGCAGGGAGCAGAGCAGGCAGAAGGACCGAAGTACACTGCTGAGGGGAGCAGCGGGCGGCAGGAGAGGTCTGCGCGCCATGCGGGACCCTCCTCCGGTGGCCGGGGAGCAGCCGGGTATCGAACCAGTGCTGCAGAGGCTGCGGGCAGCTTCGCAACCCAGCGCTCAACTGCTGCGCCACCGGGGAGGCCCTACCCCAGTTCTTAGATGCATAAATAAATCTTAAAAAAAAAAAATCCCAGGCCTGGACATGGAGAAAATGGCCAGTGTGGTTGTGGCCCATTCTCTACAGGACTGTGTCTTCAATAGAAGCAGGACACTTGTGATTTACGGTCACTGAGGCAGAGAGCAAGCAAACAGACCTGTAATGGCAGGAGGACACAGGGCAGGTTTTCTATGACCCAAGCAGACAGGGTAAAGGAGGAGAGAGTCCTGAAGCCCTCGGTGGCTTTTCAGGCTTTTATTGGAATTTATGAGGTACACAGCTGGTTGGGGTGATGAGGCTGGCAGGCCTCCCAGCCCCCAGCAAGTCTTCATGCTACCTGGGCTCTCCGGCGTTCTCTGGTGGCCTCATTCTCTGCTGCTCTTGTGGTTCTGCTGGCGTCCCCGTGATGCCGCCCTTTTAAGCCCAGCCTTAGCCCAGGTGTACCCACTTACGCATCAGGCATGCATTCAGGACCTTGGGGATCCATCATTAATCCTAATCGCAGGAGGGCAGAAAAGCCTGATATCATTTTTACTTACCCTCCAAGGCCAGAATGGCTGAGGGTGTGGACTCCTCAACTGGTTGCAGCAGGTGTACCAGGCTTAGAAACAGCTGCGAGCCTGCCTGTGCTGTGCAAGGCTAGATCTGTGTCGCCTTTATCTGCAGTATCTTTGACTATCTGAAGGTGAGAAACATGCCCACGATGGTCCTGGTGAACCCTGCCTATGACAGCCCGACAGCCTGGCTGCTTGTCATTAAAGGGCCTCAGCTATGAGATTGCCTAGTTCTCCAAGTTGGTAGGTGGGAAGCAGGTCATGAAGCCCATATGTAGGGAGCAGGAACAAGTCTTTCTTAAGAGGCAGCAGGAGATACACAGGTAGCAGCAGCGTTATCTGTCTGGCCTGGTGGGAGCAGCCCCGCCCAGTGGCTCTGGAAGCAGTAGCCCTAGTAGTGCTGGCCCTGGTAGTGACACCTCTCAGGCCCTCTTGGCCCTCTGTGGTTCCCTCCTGCCCCAGGAGTGGGGTGGGAGTAAGCCCTTGGTTTTGGCAGCAGTAGTAGCAGTGTAACCAGTTGCTGAAGCCAAACACTGTTACAGATGGTGGCCCCTGGAGGGGAGTGCTGGTGAGGATGGATAGCCCCAGGGAAAATTTGAACAAAGTATCAATGGGGTGGAGATTCTGATAAGAAATATAAGGGACTGGGGAGTCAGCATTCTGGATTCAGTGTTCAGGAGTTAGCGTTCAGCATTTTAGCGTTTTCAAATCTTCAGCAATTCTGGGGTGAGAGATTTCTGCCCCCGCTATGCCAATTTCCAGAAGGCTGGTGCAGGCCTCTGAAGAACGTGAAGAGGCTTCCAGCAGCCAGCCTGAAGAGAGGAAATGTTCGGAGGTTTTGCAAGTAGCCGAGCAACTGAAACTACTCCCGGTTTTGCTGCTGTACAGCCCGGAAGGGAAGGCAAAGACCCGGAGCCGGGCCCCTTGCTGAGCTGAGCTGGCGGGTAGTTCGGCTGCTGCAGCTGCTGTTTTTCGTGTCGCTTGTCTGTGCTGCACTGGGGCATCTCGGCAGCTCCGGTCAGTATCTCCTGTGTCTCCTCTGCTGTCTTTAGGAGTTGGAACCCTACTTGTAATTTGACTGCTGCTTGCTCCAGGTCCTCAGCGGTGGGAAGACGCCATTTTTAGATCTGTGTTTAGGTCTTGAAAACACCAGAAACGGCTTCGGGTGAGGTAAACGGCCATTTCCCTGGTTTGTTAAATAAATCCTGTTCTTGCTGTTCTCTGAATCTGAGTAGCCTTGCGATTGTGCGTGTGGGTAAAAAACTCAGATAGTGACTTATAAACTATTTGGGTGGTGCCTTGGCTGGTTTCAGTGCCCCTTGCCGCCCTGTGTCAGCAGCAGCAGCAACACAATAGCAGCAGCTGTGGTGGCAGCAGCAGCATCAGCATCAGCGTCCAGCAGCAGAAACCCCCTGAGCCCCAGCCACAGCAGTGGTCCTGTGCCCCTAGAGTGGCCAGGGAGAGCCATCCCCCACCCCAGGAGCCCTATTAGCTTTTATATGATTTAAAGACAACGTTGGTAGAGGACCAAGTTTAGGCCAAAATGAGTTTTGTGCATACAAACTATATATCAGTGTTATATATTATTTACTGCTTTCTGCAGGTGCAGACTACATCTCAAGGTTACATGTAATCTACTAGGCCACCTCTGCTGGAAGGTCACATTGAAAAATACTCTGAGAAAACGGTTTTCCTGTGGGCCCTACAGTGCTACAGCTGCATAGGGTGGGGAGAAGCTGGAAATGATGAACGAGTTACCAGTGGATGTGTCTGTCCTGAGCTGGGGTGGCTTTCTTCTCCTCACCTGCCCCAGCTTCCTGGCCCAGCTGCTGCTTCTGGCTCAGGGCCCACCCCAGCCACCCACAGATATCACTACGGGGAGGAGTCTGAGAAGCCCTCCTGGTTGGGGCCTCTTCAGCAGTCTTGCCTGCCTTTCTCCTGTGCACCTCCCTGGCAGGGGGTTGCCCCTCCCAAAGACTGAGGACTTCATTCCAGATTTCAGCAGCTCCTGAGATTTTCCCACTTGTACCCTGATCCTGCACTGAGTACCTTCCCTCCTCCATGAGGCTTGGGAAAGACACCAGGCAGACCTGCTCTCCAGGCTCAGCTGCCCCCACCCCCCACAGTCCCACAGGCCTTCCAACTGTACCAGGCCAAGAAAGGCAACTCCTAATACCTACTTGCAACAGCTACTTTGGTGTGTTTTCCCATCTGTGAAATGGATATGTATAACCATTAGCAGTATGTTTTGGAGTGTCAAGATGCAGACCACAGAGGCAGAGAACAAGTCATACCAGAAACTACTTTTGTACATTTTTGTACAAGAACCACTTTGGAATTGAGTCTATTATCTCCAATTGGTTTTCATAAAGGGGAGACCACATCAGTGCTACATCAGTTGAAGGTGAGGTGCTCTGATAAACCTTTTCTGTGACTAAATAAGTAATAAAAAGTTTACTAATTGAAAAATACATATTTCCCCCCACATGTGCTCCCTATTTATGGAAATTTATTCGTGTAGAGGAAAGCCCAATTCATCCCCAGTGTGACCTAGTTCTCTAGAGTTGCTTTGAAATGTACTTATTGGGAATGTGTAAAGAGCAGATCAACTGGAATTTTGCTTCAGTTCTAAACATCTTCTTCAAGCTTTAGAGCAATAACTCCTCAATTTGTTTGATTATTTATTATTAGTTCAGAAGTTCACCTTGTCTTGCTGTCGATAACCGTAGAAACTCAGTTACTATTTTTCTACTCATTTTATATTTGCAGCTCGGTGCATTATGATCCCCAAGATGAGAAGCAGGAACAATTTATTTAGTTTAGGATTTCTAATTTCTCCCATCACTGGTTTGGCAGTGGGCTCTGAAACATAACAACCTCTTAGAATCCAGAAAGGAGAATTAATCTATAAAAATTCAATTAACCTGTACAATGCTCATTGAGTCCTCACAGAACTTAATCAGAGTTTTCTTAACTTATTAGCCGCTTCGCCTATTTTGCATCTTGTAGTCTGTGACGATGGCACTAAACAATCAGAATAATGCTGACAGGCTAAACAAACTAATAGGGTATGTCCAAGGATTGGATCCTTCTATCACTTGCTAAAGACATCCAAATAAATCTCACCTATGAGTTCAAGAAGCAAGACTCTGAGTACTAGTGGACTGTGAGGACAATTAATTCCCTATCTGCATTGGAACCCACAAAGCAATCCTCCACTTCTGACTTACTATATCCTCTTGGGACCAACCTTTGGGAGCCCCATAGGCTTTAATATATGATGGCTTAGGCTTTGTTACATAATAAAGTCTACCTCAGAGGCAGTGTACTAAGCAAAATGTTTCATGAGCTGCTGAAGATTATGAATGACTATGAATTATTCTGAGTTCTTCCAATGACTATCTCTGTTGAAAGAACTATATAGAATCAGGGGGTGTTACACTGAAGAAGTTACTCATTGATTCCAAGTACATTATACTCTCTACTCATTCAAATTTTATTTTAACTACCAAATGTGCATTTGACACAGATTTTGGGGTGGGACAATATGTGAAGGAAAAAAAAAAAACTAGATCTAGTTTTCAATGTTTAGAAATTGAGAAACCTGGAGTATAGTTCAGTGGAGATGCACAGAACTCTAAAGAGGGTTTTCCCTTTGGGAACATCAGTATTGAAGGGGGAGTTGTCACTTTGGATATGAAATAGGGATTCTGCATATAGAGATGAAAACAATTGACTGAGTTGTGAATTTTGGGAACACTCTTAATAGAAAGACAGTCAGAGGAGGAGCCTGAAGGAGATCCCTCAGGAAAAACTGAGATGAAGTCATTAGACTTGGAGAAGGGGTGGATGAATGACATCAATGAAGCCAGATTGGGGGCGAGGTGCAGAATATGGAATGAGGTGGAGTGTGCAAATGTTGTAGCATTCTCAAGAGTTATGAGAGGTTAGTTTTTTAATAGTAGTGTCATGAATGACCTTTGGAAAAGCAGCTACATGAAGTGATAGAAGCTAAAAATAGATTGCAAAGATTTGGAGGTCAAATTGAAAACAGGTAAGTAATAATTGCCACTTATTTGTTTCCAGTAAGTGTGGACAATCTGCCTCAGAATGTGACATTAAGAAAGAAAAAAATGGAAAGAGTAGAAATCAGAGAGGGGTTTAAGGTAAAGCAATGAGTAGATAAAATTATTGATTGATAGAGAGTAATTTTGAAAGATATGAGGAACTTGTATTGTCTCTAATTACCAGGTTTCTCAGCAGTCCGGAATAGGATTGAGAAACTAATGATTCTATTACGCCAAAGTTGGTTGCAGAATAGGTGACAAACAGTTTTAAGGGGTAAAACAGAGCAAGAAAGAAATGAATCGTGGTCCAGACGAGGATAGGAGAAAGTAAAGGCAGGTGGGAAATTAAAGTAATTTGAAGACTATAATTGTTTTTTTAGGAATTTCTTTCAGAATTCTTGTTCAAATGTAAATGAGTGGATGGGAAGAAAAGGAAGGTTGTTGTCAGATGTTACGATTTCAGAAGTGGAATATTTCTAGGTGATGACCAGAACCAGAATATCAGTGGATGTGGATGACTGCAGTAGACAGGTGACAAAGATCCCTCAAAGCATTCTTAAACTGGAGTTGAGGACGGATTGTTGTTAAAACATCAAAATCATTGAGGATTATAACAGACTAGGAGTAGAGGGGATTTTCTTACACTATATTCCCAGATCTTCAGTAAAACTGGAGGAGGAACAGAGATCAATATCAATGAGAACGCGAGAAAAAAGGAAATAGCTGAATGGTATGCAGGAAAGGATGTCTTCTAAGTGACAAAAATGGTTTGGAAGTGACAATGCTGAGCAAGAAGAATGAAAAAGCCCTATCCTTGCCTTTGAGGCCTGTAGAAGGAGCAAGAGTGTGCAGACACAGCAAAACAGAAGGCAGAGTCTTGGGAGGTGGTGGGGGTGGAGTCTGTAGGGGACAGTATTAGCAGCAGTTAAAATGTAAAGAGTTAATGTCATAGCATGCCTCAGAAAGTACAGAATTGTCTGGGTCTATGTTTTTGAATATTTTCTCTGAACAAAGTACCGAATAGACAAATTTACTTTTGGGGTGCAGAGAGGGAGAGGAAGATCACTTTTGTCTCTATGTGTTCCCTATTTGTCATCCAACTTTCAGATGCTTAAAAGCCATGAACATAGAGTTGTCTGTCTTACTGTAGGTTACTTTCAGTGTTTAGCATATGCCTGGCACATAGTAGGTTCTCAGGTAAACAATAAATGCATTGAATAAGTGCATAGACAAATGAAAACTGAAAACAAGGAAAGGCAGACATGCATAATAAACAAAAGTCACAGCTAATATTTAACTCTTACCTTTCCCAGCAGCAAAGCTCATTCATAACTTTTAAAGTCTTTAATTCTTTCTCAGCCCATAATGTATGTTGATGGCAACTTTGAAAACCTGAGAAGGTAAAAGTGCTATATAAATTTGAAAAAAACGAGAGGGGGAAGCACTGTGATTCAGGAAGTCAGATAATTCTGCAGTCTCCATCCTATAACTAGACTAGAGATGATATAATTACTTGTTTCTTGTTGTGGGGAGTGTTCTTTAAAGTTGTATGTGTTTACTACTTGACTTCACTGATACATTTCATGTAATGAGGATAGAATTTAGGTGAACGCCTTCCTCTTTACCTCTCCACTACTTCCAGAAATCCATTGATTAGTGTTTACAGAAGATTTAGTATTTACTATTTTTAAGTATAGTAGCAGGCCATGCAGAAAGAGAAGCCAAAATTCCTACCTTTGGAAACTTACAATTTGTTGAGAAGAAAGAAATTTATACCCTGCAGATGACTGAACAAGATTGTGTAAATACTCAGTTCATCCAGGTATTATCCTAGGAGTCCAGTGGAGGAGGAAAGAGATCCTTGAATGGACGTCATAGAGAAATGGAAGAATTTGGATCTACAGAGAAGGAGAGTGGAGGATAGTTTTCCCTTAATAGTCTCAGTCTATAATTTGTAGTTTTATTCCATTTCTCAGTTATCAACAAACCATGTACACACCTCAGCATTTGTCAGTTAAAAATGTTTTTGAAAAGTCATTTTGTGCAACGTATGTGAAGAAACAGAAAAATAGCCACATTTTGAAAAAAATGTCTGGGTGTTGGGGGTGAGGGGGTTGGAGGCAAAAAAGAAGAAATCCAGCTAAGTGGAGCAAAGTATCTTTTACATTGATTGGAAGGAAGAGTTGGCACTGTTTCTTGCATCCATGGTCTTTTACTTCTGGCCTAGAGCTAGCATTTAATTTGAATTTTATTAACACATGAAACTAATGCAGCAACATGACTCTCCCAATTCAGGGTGTTTAATTTTATAAAAGCTTGCAAGTTGAATAAGTGGCTCTGAAGAATATGAAAGTGTTTCTTGAGTATCAGCAAGGTAAGTGTCAAAGTTATCTGCAGAAATAAATTCTGGGGGAAGGGAGCAATTCTGGGTTAAACCTGGAAAAGCAAGCAATAGACTTAGATGGCAGAATAATGGAACACTAAATAATACAAAGCAAAATAAACTGAGAATGATAAAAATAGGTAGCACAGTGCATTTTCTAGATGACCTTTTAATAATATGCATCAACCTGAAGCTGAGTATGTACAGAGACATACATAAGTGCAGAGATGCATGAATGAGGATGTTCACCATGGCATTGTGTATAATAGCATTAAGATAGACAATATGTCCACAAAAAGAATATTTAAGTAAATTATAGAAAAATCCTGAAATAGAATCAGAATAGGCACCAACTAAAGGTATAGTTTTACATTTAGTGAAGCAGGAAGTTATTCATGTTGAATTAAAAAATGTGTTGAATTAAAAAAATATAGATTGCAATACAGCATGTAAAGATTGAGTGAAATATCATACAAAATTCCAACATATTACCACTGAGTGTCGTTTTCCCAATAATCGATAAAATAAGTGCCAGTTGTGTCTTTTTTTTTTTTTTTAAGATTTATTTTTTATTTATTTATACAAGCACTGGGTACAGTCAGAAGCGTGGGAGGGTGAAAGAATTCACCAGAGCCAGAGCAGGGAGCAGAGCAGGCAGACTGACGAAGTACACTGCTGAGGGGAGCAGCGGGCGGCAGGAGAGGTCTGCGCGCCATGCGGGACCCTCCTGTGGCTAGGGAGCAGCCGGGGATCGAACTGGCACTGCAGAGGCTGTGGGCAGCTTTGCAACCCAGTGCTCAACCACTGCACCACCCGGAAGCCCCAGTTGTGTCTTAATCCCAGATCTCTATATGATATCCTGTTCCCACTTTTGAACTATGGTTAAAATAAAAAGGTCAAGTGGGGATATGAAGGTTTAAGGAATAGAGAATAACTCTGAATACTTGAACACAA